AGGCCTTCGCTCCTCACTTGAGCCTTTTGGGGTTTAGGGTTTGGGGTTTGGGGTTTAGGGTTTGGGGTTTAGGGTCTGGGGTTTGGGGTTTAGGGTCTGGGGTCTGGGGTTTAGGGTTTGGGGTTTAGAGTTTGGGGTTTAGGGTTTAGGGTTTAGAGTTTGGGGCTTAGGGTTTAGGGTTTGGGGTTTGGAGTTTAGGGTGTAGGAACCCTAAACTGCACCATTGCCGGAGATGTCGAAGCCGAAGGCATTGCAAACAACGTCACTCGAAGGCTCACCATCGCCAGGGCTAGAGAGTTTCTACTCAGGAGGGTTTAGAGTTTAGGGTTTAGGGTTTAGGGTTTAGGGACTATTGTAAAATGAGGTCCCAACAACCATAATAAGGATGGTGTTTTCGGACCTACTTCCATACTGGTAGTACATATGGACCCTCTGGGTACGAGGTCTTATGGGTCTTAGGGTTTAGGGTTTAGGGTGTCTACAAGGTTCATATGCTTTGCAATACCGATTACGTAGTGTTGGTATTGACGGTGTGAGGAGTTTGGGAAGGTAGGGTAGGTTTCTTTTTTGCGTCCTGACCTCGATATTGGGAATTCGGGAGGAACACGATGCTTGAATCCCTATGATTCCGTTGAGAAACCTAATGTACTGGCCATCTTTGCGGTGTAGCTGTTTGTGGGTAAGGGTCAACGTGTCTAGGCCATAAAGTTACGTTGGTGCATGTAGCTTCAAAGAGTTTAAGCTTTTCCGTACGGGCCAGAGTACTGTTCCATCTGATCCTGAGCTGTTCATAGGCTTCCTCCGCTAGGCTTAAACGACGTTCTAGAACTCTTTCGAAAGGTGCTTACCCTAAGGGTCCATGCACTCATACAGTATATACATTGGCCCCAAAGTATCTATATAGGGACTACTTTATCTACTATTTGTGTACATGGACCCTTAGGATTAGGAGACAGGGATTCGGGAGTGTTGTGGATCCAGTGCGGCTTTCGAAAGTTTTAGGGCTACGAGCTTGGGATATCGGATAAACCGTAAAGTACCAAACCCTGTGCTTGTAGGGTTTGGGGTTTAGGGTTTACGGTTTCTGAGTCCGCAGCTCTAGACTCTACTTACACTTAAACACTTCACCGCTTAGAAGTCAGATCTTCGTTTGATGCCAGAAGAAAAGATCTAAAGAAGGATTAAGGATCCGACGATGCATGCAACTCCCGAATCTCTGTGTCCGTCCGTGCCCTCATGGCTTTCAATACCCACTCTGAAACGGCTCCGTCGCGAGACCGATCGAAAGATGAGATCATGGGTATCACAGAGTTTCGCCACGATCGAAAGGCACCAGCATTCTCAGGTAGGGACGGGAAATTTAAATAACCGTAGGTCCTCCTGTTTCGCATGCGTGGACTCAACATCTTGTTCTTCAGCCTTGCGACTTCAGAAACCGGGGAACCATTTGCTGCTGAATGAGCTGGTCGCTTGCGGCCTAAACCCTAAACCCTAAAGCGTGCATAAACAATTTCCAGCTCTTCTTTCGGCCACTGACCCAGTCCAAGTTCCATGCCCTTCCGCTGCTTTTGGCCGCATAGACGACTCCATGCAAGGGCTCAGAAAGGTTTAGGGTTTAGGGTTTAGGGTTTAGGGTTTTCAGAAAGGCGTGAAGGTCCTTGGGTCTCTGATAAGGACTCTGCAAGCCTCTGGGTTGAGGATGGAGAGTGTATGGTGGCACTAGGGTTTACGGATAGTCCCAAACCCGTAAGCCCTAAACACTTTGAGACCCCTGTAAAAGAATTCAAACCTGCACAAAACCCCTTAACACCCGTTCCAAACTCCCAAAGAATGCCCTTGTGTACACCCCCAATAAAAGCCATCATGAAGCCCTATCAGCCTACAGTAAACCCCCCGCTAACTCTGTTGAAACCCTTGTAAACCCTAAACCTTAGACCCTAAATCCTAAACCCTAAACCGCTAAACCCTAAACCCCTAAACCCTAAATCGCCGATACACCCGTTGCAGATTCCGGCGGGGACCTTCAGGTCAGCGAGGGCGGGGCCTGCATTTCGTGTTGCCTGGCCGTGTCTGGTGTTCGGGTTCAGGGAGCCCTTGGGGGCTTATGGATTTTCGGTTTAGGGTTTTTAGGCTTTAGGGTTTAGGGGTTTAGGGGTTTAGGGTTTAGGGTTTAGGATTTAGGGTTTAGGAGGGTTTAGGGTTTTGCAATGATTCTTGTTTTTGAGGCTTAGGCAGTGCTTAGCGGATTAACGTGTTTTTGTTGTGTAGGTTCGGGGCGGAGGGCATGGGGTTCATCTTGTTCAAAGCTGGGTCTTTGGAGTGCGGGGAGGTGGGAATGTGTGGCGAGTTCGTCAGATTCAGGCTAGAGCGTTTAGGGTTTACCCTAAAGGTCCACAGGACCCAACAACTAGGTACTCGGTTTTAAGATAACAGTTTTAATCCCTAAACCCTAAACTTTGTAGGTTGGCATCTTGGAGAATACATGTTCATTAGGTTCATGGAACCCCTGAGGATGCGGATGACCCTCAGCCCCTACAACACCGCATGCAACCCCAAGAGGCCCGAGAAACAAACGGCCCCATAGTAGTTCCTTTTGGGATTCCCCAAAAAGGATCCTAAATTATAAGCCACAAACAGGAACTACTAATGCGGCATATGGGTAGGACCCTAAACCCTAAACCCTCAAAGGGGGACGAACTTTTTCAGGGCCCAGGTATATTCTATAAACCTTTCAACCTGTTTCAGGATCTTAGGAAACCCAGAAGGCTCCAAACCCCAAGCCCTAGATTCCAACACCTAAACCCCGAACCCTAAACTAAGCCCTATAAATCCTACAGAATATACCTCCTGACAGCCCCGGGTGCCTAAAGCCTGAACTCTGAACCCTAAATTCTAAATAAACCCTAAACCCTAAACCCTAAACCCTAAACCCTACACTACTCTAAACCCTAAGTTCTCAACCCTAAGCTGCTCTAAACCCCAAGTCCTAGACCCTCAAACTAGTCTAAACCGTAACTTCGAAAACCCTAAACTACTCTAAATAACCTTAAGTCTTAGACCCTAAGCTGCTCTAAAAACCTTGAAGAACTTTCAAAAAGCCCCGGATGCCTGCATCTTCAGGTCCAGTAGCCTGGCTGTTTGCGCAAGCGCCTCGAAGAGCAAACTCGGGTTTAGGGTTTAGGGTTTAGGGTTTAGGGTTTAGGGATCAGGGCTTCGGATTAGGGTGTAGGGTTCAGGGTTTAGGGATTTCGGTTTAGGCTTAAGGGTACAAGGGTTCTACAAGAGATCTGCAAGGGATCTTTATGGTTTCTCGCAGGCTTAGAAGGGAGGGCGTGGGATTCAGAGGCCTTAAAACTGAAAGTTGGGTTTAGGGTTTAGGGTTTAGGGTTTAGGGTTTAGGGTTTAGGGTTTAGGGGTTTGGCGGCTGGGGCTTAGGATTTAGGGTTGAGGTACCAGGCTTCTATAAGGGGTTCTATACTTGAGGATTTAGAGCTTCGGGCTTTGAGGGTCTAGGTCTTAGGGCTCATACTGAGGATGTGGGTTTAAGGGCTTGTAGTAGGTGTGAGAGGAAGGCTGTTCGGGTCTATGGTGTTCCTACCAACGCTTGCAGTATCAGATGAGGCTTCTGAGAAGAGGGTTACATGGGGTTACCACAACGGTTCCACCAGGTTCCTGTGAGGGTCCTATCTATCTGTATTTACAGATGAATAGATGGATGAATAGATAGATAAATAAGTAGATAGATAGATCGATAGATAGGTAGAAAGATAGATAGATAAATAGATAGATAGACAGACAGATTTCATTAGAGTAGGTTAAACTAGGTTAGACTAGATGAGACTGGATTAGACTAGAGTAGACGAGATTAGACCAGGTTAGACTAGATTAGAACATATTAGAATAGATTAGAATAGATAGATAAATAGAAAGATATATATCAGTTCCACCCCTAAGGCTTCAGGCATGTAGGGTTGTAAATTGTAGGGTCTAGTGATTCGGCGATTCGGGTTGGCTGCATGCTCACAACCATAGTGAGCATGGAATATGAACATAGATGCATGATGCATGTGCATACATGTATGCTCTGCGCAACCCTAACCTACAAAGCCACTATCCTAAATCCAGATACCCAGAGAGCCCAATACCCCTCAATCAATTAGTAGACCTCTAAATTTACGGGCGTGACTGAAGGCATCTTCTTTAGTCAAGCTCTATTGGGCTTTTCGGTACCCAATTCTTGGATACTGTAATCCGTCACGGTCGGTCGGCTGCATTAACCCTGTATTAAACATTAATGATATAAGGTATAGGTAGTATGGGGTTAAGGGTCTATAGGGCTCAAAGGCTTATGGGCTGAGGATTTAATGGTTTGGGGCTTAGGGTCTTTAGCACCCAGAGCTCGGAAATCTACTAAAAAGGTCTCCTGACTCCAGGATTTGTTGGCTTGAGCTTGAGCTTCTACAGCACGGCCTCATTCATCTCGTCGATGGAAGACGAAACTCTGAGTGTCAAAACCTCGGTCTGTCTGAGTTGGGTTCGGTGCTTAGGGTCTAGGGTTTATGTGTTCAGAGTTTAAGGCTTAGGGATTTAGGGTTCCGGGCTTCCGAGTTAAGGGCTCAGGGTCGGGTCTTGTCGAGAGAGCTAGGTGTGCCGGCAATTTTCAATCAGCCCCTGCACTAGAAACCAAGGCCCTTAATGTAGCTCTGCAAACCCTTACAAGCTCCTAGCAGCCGTGCCCATGTCAAGCCCTATAAGCCTTTCACAAGAAACCCCCCAAGAAATAGAATAGAAACCTCTCAGAATTGTCCCAAAAGGCCCCAAGCGCTCTTACACGCTTGGACGGTACCCTATGAGCCCTAAGCCCTTTTGCCCCAAGCAGCAAAACTATGCTAGTTAAAGAAACCTCGGGCATCAACCTTAGACCAGGGGACCACAGCCCGAAAAAGGTTAGGGTTTAGGGTTTAAGGTTTAGGGTTTAGGGTTTGGGGTTTAGGGGAAAGGCTCTTTTGGAGAAGAGTGGTACAGGGTTCTGTGGTTTGGGGAGGGTTCTATGAAGGTCCTCTGAAGTTTTGAGGCTTTGGGGCTCAGACTTTGGGATCTTGAGCAGTTTTTAGGTGGAGCAGGGGGTCTTAGGGTAAAGGTTGGTTTTTCATGATTGTTGGGCCATTATCAGTCAGGGCTTGAACCTGGGGCCGTAAACAATCACAGTAGGGTTTCCGAATATGCTTTACAAAAACAACAAAACAAGGCCGCCTGAGGAACAGTACTAATTCTTCCTGTGGCCCCTACAGAATGGCAGGTTGTGACCCCTTAATTAATACTCTGTTCTTCAACAACCAGGCCCAACAAAGTTCAAACTTTTTAGGATCGACCTCATATATAAGGCCAAACAGTTTAAAGTCTCTCCCTTTGTCTCTATCTTCATTCAACGGTAGAACCCTTAAAATGGTAGGTTTTGGGATCCCCGGGATTAGGCTTCTATACTACACTTTCAGGTGAGCAGGAAACCCCAAACCCTAGACATCCTTGAACCCAGACCCCAGGAAGGATCTAAAAAGTCGATCCCCTACCTTGGGACCCTATACTACGAAAGGGTCTTTATAGGAACCCCCATCAAGGGATCTACTTTCTGGATCCTTTCGGGGGCCTGGGTAAACCTAGTCAGACTCGCAGCTTGGCTCAAGGCTTGGTGAGAGGAGAAGGGCTGCGCAAAAGTGGTGCCTGGCAGGCTTCGGATATGTGAATTAAGAGTTAGGCTGCCTATTAGGCTTGTGATTTTGGGTCGTGGGTTTTAGTGTTAAAGAGTGGGCTAAGGGTTTCGGTCTTCGGGTCTAGATTATGGCTTAGGGCTGAAGCTGCAGAGATTTTCGGAAACCCCCAATACGATCAACTAAAGTGACATGGAACACCACACAGCCCGTTCGCTAAAGGACAGCAATCTATAAGGGGCTATTCACGGCTAGACCTCCCCTTCACCCTCGATTTGGGAGTGTAGCTATCCGTCTCCCGTCCTTTCGCAAACCCGGTGTGCGGGTAATGTGCGGGAGTATAGTGAATTTACGAATACGTAGGTTGAAGCATAATTCGAGGGCCGTATGTCTCCTCAATTGATGGGACTTGGAGAATAGCTCGAGTGGGTTCAAGGTGGAGTTAGAACTTAGGTAACTCAAATTAGAGGCCAACTGGACAATAGAGGAGTCTTGATGATTAGAACAGGATTTCCGGGTGTTTATATGGAGGAATTTTATACGAGCTCGAAGGAATATTTAGTGTTGATAACATTCAGGCCCCTCCATTATGAAGCTCTATGAGCGGTTGTAAACAAAACCTGGTTCCACAAAACCTGAACCCTAAACCCTTGTACACCCCGCCCCACAAGCCCTCTAGCCCTACCGTGCCGGCTGGGAATCGCACCGTTGATGGCCTGAAGCGTCACGAAGCCCTCGCGGGCATCCTGGGGCGATGCCCCTAAGGGTCCAAGTCCAAAGGACCCAACTATCAGGTGCCAGGGTTGGGTTTAGGTTTTAGGGTTTAGGATAGTAGTTCTGTAGGTGAAAGCCTAAACCCTAAACCCTAAGTGTTACATTTTGGGACCTTAGGGGGTAAGGGGCTCAGGCGCGAAAGTGTTGAGGGTTTAGGATTTCCGTAAGGGTATTGTAAGGGTTCTACAAGGGGAATGACGAAGGACTTGAGTTCAGTGTTCGGGATTTAGGGTCCATATCTATGGTCTTAGGGCTCAGGGCTTTAGGGGTTTACGAGTAGGGCTTAAGGGCGTAGGGTTAAAGTTAGGTCTTAGGGTTTAGGGTTTTAGGGCTTGATTTCCAGGCGATGTTGTTGCTCATTGTTCAGAAGTGGGCCCCTGTATGAATTGTCTTCGAGGGTCTGAGGTTGAACCCTGACATGTGGGCAAGGAAAACCACTACACACATCCCAAACCCTAAACCCTAAACCCTAAACCCTAAACCCTAAACCCTCAACCCTAAACCCTAAAGTTCTACAGCCTAAACATTAGGTTTCGCTTTGGCCTAGCCTTTAACCCTTCACGGCCCTCAACCCTAACCCCCCTACTTTCAGCCCTCAACCCTCAGCCCTCAACCCTGAGCTTTCGACCCTAATTCCTAAACCCGAATCTTTGACCCTAAACCCTAAACCCTCAACCCTATGCTGTCGACCCTACCCATAGGCCCCATAGTAGGTCCTTTTTGGGATTACCTTATAGGATTCTAGATCTGAACCCCAAAAAGGAACTACTATGGGGCCTATGGGTAACTCCAAAGCCCTAATCTTTGAACCCAGAACCGCACATCTCTTTAGTATCTGCAAGCACCCAGGCCCTCCCACGATGACTGCTGACGGTAAAGCCAAACCCTAAACCCCAAACCCGTAAGCCTAAACCCTAAACCCCAAACCCTGAAGCCTAAACCCTAAATCCCAAACCCTTAAGCCTAAACCCTAAACCCTAAACCCTAAACCCTAAACCCTAAACCCTTAAGCCTAGACCCCAAACGCGTTTGGGGTTTTGTTGGTTTTGGGGTCTTGGAGCCTTAGGGTCTGGGGGTTCAGGCTTGAGGGTCTAAACGGTTTAGGGTTTAGGGGGTTTAGGGTTTAGGGTTTCATGTAAGGGTTTAGGGTTTAGGGTTTAGGGTTTAGGGTTCCTGCCTGTAAGAGTTCCTTCAGGGGGTTCCTTTGAGTGGCTTCTACAAGGGGTGCTATAAGAGGGTTTCAATTGCTTGCTTGGGTAGTTCTCTCCATGAGGGTCCCTTTGGAAATCCCTTTTCTAAGGGTGTCGCCTTTTCTTTTGGGACCCTCAACAGGGATCCTTCTTTGGAGAACTACCCTTTGAGGGTAAGAAATGAGGGGCCGACGACCGGCGAGAAATGGTCTACAGTACAGGGCGTTTGGCGTTTCGGACTTTGGATCGTTTAGGGTTGAGGAACATGGCCTGATCTACGAGATCAGATGTAGTGGATCTTTTGCATACTTATCTTCAGCGAACTCTTCGGCATGCCTTCGTCTCAACATGTCACAATACTTCGCAAATTCCACGCCCCAACCCAAGCCCTGACAGCAAAATCCCTAAGTTTAGGGTTTGGGCTTTAGGGCTTTCTGGGTTGTACTTTCAGGCCCCCCCCCAAAAAAACTATTTATGAACGGGTACCTCTATAGGAACCATTAGGGAATCTATGAAGTTTCCCAAAATGCGGCCCTAGGCCCTAAACCCTAAACCCTAAACCCTAAACCTTAAACCCTAAACCCTAAACCTTAAACCCTTAAACCCTAAACCCTAAACCCAGGCCCTATGTGCATTTCAGCCAGTCCTTCTCCGCTTTCACTCGAACCCTTTGCAGCCCGGAGGCCGCGTCCTGCATGCGACTCGGCACCCTCTTAAAGGGCTTAGGGTTTAGGGGTTTAGGGGTTTAGGGTTTAGGGTTTAGGGTGTAGGGTTTAGGGTTTAGGGTTTAGGCTTTAGGGTGTAGGGTTGTTTAGGGTAGAAGGTTTGTGGTGACCGTTTAAGCGTTTATGGGGGTTGGGTTAGAAAGCTTTTCTTTAAGGATTTGCCTTTGCTGCCTTTCAAGTGATCATTTAAGGGTAGGAAGAAAGCTTATATAAGGGTTTGTAAGCGTTTGAGGTTTTAGGGATTGGGGGCGGGCCTCAAAGCGAAACAAGGCTACCTTGAGTCTAAGGTCTCTTGAAGGGATTCTATAAGGGTCACTACAAGTATATGGGTTCTCTATCGGGCCTCAACATTAAATAGCTTGCGCGGAGTGTCCGCTCCAGCTTGCCACAACATCCCACGCAGCCCGCAGATTCTGTCCCAGCTGGAACTATGGTAACGAAACGAGCTTACACGATGCGTGCCCAATGAAATCGGCGCGAAAACTGAAGGGTGAGAAATGAAACGAGGAGGAATGCTGCCCTGACGGTCCAATGCACAGCAAACATGCTTTGCACGAAAACATAGGCTTCCCTAGGGGTCCATGTACCCAAATAGTAGATACTTCGGCCTTAAAGTAGTCCCTATATAGATACTTTGGTGCCAATGTATAGACTATATGAGCACATGGACCCTTAGGGACTTGTACATAGCTTACAAGTGAAAAGAGTTTCTCGATTGGACATCCGACACGACACGAGGAGCGCCATTCGGCAGACGTCGTATCTTCTTTCAGATCTACTTCGCTCTGACTCCAAATTCTAAAACCTAAACCCTAAACCCTAAAACCTAAACCCTAAACCTTTTAGATGTACTTCGCTCTGACTCCAGCTCGCTTCCAAATGCCGGCATCATGCGCCAGGCGCCCAGACTCCATCCCTGCACGCATTCGGCCCAGAAACTTGATACTGCCTATAGCCTCCATTGTAGTTCCTTTTGGGGATACCTTATAAATTCCCTACTATATAAACTGGTTAGACCAAAAAAAGGAACCACAATGGAGACTATAGGTGGAGCCCAAGTTCCAGATTGTAGGATTGGGCCCAAGCCTTATAATAATCTTAGCCAGCAGGCTTGAACGTGGACAAGGAGGTACGATAGACAGCAGACTTTCGAGCACGTGCACGCCGGTCCTTCAAAGAAATGAACGACCTTCTTGCGGAAGTGAGCTGAAGGCACTTTGGAAAGAAGTGTTGGGTCGACTTCCATAAACCAAAATGCAGGGCTTAGGGTTTACACCCGATGAGGGTGCAATCTAGTGAATGACGGATGGTATGATTCTACTATGCGGCGACTTAGGTCTTAAGTTTAGCGAGCAGACTGGCTACAAAGGGACACCAAAGGGACCTTTCTGCGAACTCGAGCTTTTTCTAGTATCTCAACTCCTAAGAGGTGACCTCGGCACCCCCACGGTCCCATGGCGAAACCGACCCACAGGAAACTTCATAGTAAACACTGTTACCATATAGAAGACACGGCACTACTTCAATCGAGTTGTCACTTAACAGCTCGCGGTAGCCGGATCATGCAGCAAGCTTACTCAATGAAGTTCCTCAACAGAAAACCTCTGGTGCACGACGCGTCGCTGTGGACCTTGAGCTTCCCTAAACCCCAAAACTTAAACCCCTGCGTCAAAAACATTAAACCCCGAAGCCTAAACCCTAAATCCCAAACCCTAAAGCCTAAAACCCCAAACCCTGAAGCCCAAACGCCAAACCCTAAAGTCTGAACCCAAACGCCAAACCCTAAAGTCTGAACCC